TCCTTCTACATAGAATGGCCTCATTTGTTTAAAAAAAAAAATCCTTTTACTTGCTTATCTCCTGTTTATTCTTCAAGCCCTATCTTATGTATTACTTCCCCCAGTAGCCCTCTTCTGACTCCCCAGATGAGGTTGTAGTTCCTCTGTTCTGAAATGGCCCCTTTCGTATGTTTAATGGCTTAAAGTTTTGAGGACAGGAACCTTATTTCTCTTGTTCACTCATTTATCCCAGAGGAAATGCTTGGAATGCTGTTGAGGGCCCAGTAAATATTTGTTAAAAAGGAAATGGGGTTGTACAGCAGCAGGAACTCTCATTCATTAGTGGTGGGAATGCAAAATGGTATAGCCACTTTGGAAGACAGTTTGATGGTTTCTTACAAAATTAAATATACTCTCACCATATGATTCAGCAGTCACACTTCTTGGTATTTACCCAGAAGGGTTGAAAGTTTATCTTCACACAAATACCTGCACACAGGTATTTATAGCAGCTTTATTTACAAGGCTGGGCTTGGAAGCAACTTAGATGTCCTTTAGTAGGTGCGTGGTTAGGTAAACTGTTAGACCTTTAGACAATGAAATATTTATTCAGTGCTAAAAAGAAGTGAGGTATCAAACAATGAAAAGATAAGAAGGAACCTTAAATGCCTATTATTAAGTGAAAGAATACCTATTGCCAACTGAAAAAAGCTATATACTGTATGATTCCAAGTATATAATATTGTGCAAAAGGCAAAACTATGAAGACAGTAAAAAGATCAGTGGTTGCCAGGGTTCAGATAGAAAGAGAGATGAAATGGCAAAGCAAAGAGAATTTAGGGTAATGAAACCATTCTCTATAATATAACGGTGAATACAAGTCTTTATAAATTTGTCCATACCCAAGAGTGAACCATAAAATAGAAGCTGTGGACTTTGGGTGATAATGATATACCAGTGTAGGTGCATCAGTTGTAACAAATGTGTGGTAGGGGATCTTGATGGTGAGGGAGGCTGTGCATGTGAGGAGGCAGAGTTTATATGGAAAATCTTTGTACCTCAATTTTGTTGTGAACCTAAAACTGCTTTTAAAAAGTCCATTAAAAAATAGACAAATCTATAATATAGAACATTCTACAAGAAAAAAAGAGGGGGGCATGCAGCCGTCATTAGGGAAATGCCAGTCAGAACCACAGTGAATACCACTTCAATACATTAGGATGGCTATAATCCCAAAGACAGCCAATAACAAGTATTGGGAGGATGTGGAGAAATTCATATATTGCTCATGGTAAAATGATGCAGCTGCTTTTGAAAAACACTTTGGCAGTTCTTCAAAATGCCAAACACAGAGTTATCATATGACCCACAAATTCCACTCTTAGGTATGTATACCCAAGAGAAATGAAAACAAGTCTGCACAAAAACTTGTACGTGAATGTTCACAGTAGTGTTATTCGGAATAGCCAAAATGTGGAAAAAACCTAAATGTCTATCTTAGCTTGAGCTGCCATAACAGAATACCATAGTCTGGGTGGCTTGAACAACAGACATTTATCTCTCACAGTTCTGGAGGCTGGAAAGTCCAGGATTAAGGTGCTGGCTGATCCGGTTCCTGCTGAGATCTTCTTGGCTTGCAGATGGCTGCCTTCTGCATGTCCTCACATGGCCTCTCCTGATGCATGCAGGCAGATTGAGAGTGAGGTCCTATCTTTCCCTCGTCTTCTCAGGACACTCATCCCATCATGGGGGCCCTACCTTCATAACCTCATCTAAACCTAATTACCTTCTAAAGGCTCCACGCACAATACCATCACATTTGGGGTTAAAGCTTCAACATATGAATTGGTGGGGTGGGGACACAGCATGCAATTTGTAACAAGGTCCATCAATTGGTGAATGGATAAATAAGATGTAAGTTCATAGAATATTCTTCATGCAAGAAACGAATTATTGATATGTGCTATAATATGAATGAACCTTGAAAATAATGCTAAGTGAAAGAAACCAGACAGAAAAGACTACATATTGTATGATTCCATTTATAATAAAAGTCCAGAACAGGCAAATCTATAAAGATAGAAAATACCTTAGTGGTTGTCTAGGGCTAAGGAGTGGGGAGATTTGAGTAGAAATAGGGAGTGACTACTAATAGATATGAGATTGCTCTTTGGGATGACGAAACTGTTCTAAAATTAGATAATGATGATGGTTGCACAGCCCGAACATTAAGAACAATTGAATTGTGCACCTTAAATTAATTTTGTAGTATGTGAATTATATCTCAATAAAGCTGATAAACTTTAGCAAAAACTGATGGTTTGCTTTAAAGAGGCAAAATAGAAAACATTGTGTAGAGAAAGGTGATGCTCTTCTATACATTTCTTTGCATTCTAAGTAGATTGTTGAAGTAAATTGTAGAGATCTCTGAAAATCAGACTTTTAGTGGTATATAATAAAGAGTACAAGAGCATATTTGAAAAGGTTTGGACAGGGGCGCCTGGTTGGCTCAGTCGGTTAAACGGCTGCCTTCGGCTTAGGTCATGATCCCAGGATCCTGGGATCGAGCCCTGCATCGGGCTCCTTGCTCAGCGGAGAGCCTGCTTCTCCCTCTCCCTCTGCCTGCCTCTCTGCCTACTTGTGCTCTCTCTCTGTCAAATAAATAAATAAAATCTTTAAAAAAAAAAAAAGGTTTGGACAAAAACAGTTCTTGAGTAAAGCACAATTAAGTGGCCAGTCTACTTTTCAGAATGAATAATCATCCCACTGCATTTTAATTTTTTTACTTCATAGTATATTATATGACTTTAACTGACAGAGTTTGTGGGCTCCCCATCCCTTCCATTAATTTACCCACCTTTGCACTTTCTAATTTCTCCTTTGGAAAAAAGACATCAACCATTCTGCTTCCTCATTTCTTTTTTTTTAATTTTTTTTTAAGGTTTTGTTTATTTACTTGAGAGAGAATGAGCGAGAGAAAGAGAGAGCACAAGCAGGGGCAGAGGGAGAGGGAGAAGCAGACTCCCTGCTTAAGCAGGGAGCCCAATGTGGGGCTTGGTCCCAGGACCCTGGGATCATGACCTGAGCTGAAGGCAGATGCTTAACTGACTGAGCCACCCACCCCTGCGTCCTTATTTCTTTAGTAAAATGAGTGCAGTAACTGTTTACTTCTGTCATCTCATGTTGAACAGTAAAAAATAATGTGATATTTAGTGATTTTTTTTTTTTTTTTTTAAAGCAAGAGTAATGGGGCACCTGGGTGGTACAGTCAGTTAAGCCATCAACTTTTGGTTTCTGCTCAGGTCATGATCTCAGGGTCGTGAGATCGGGCCCTGTGTTGGGCTCTGTGCTCAGCTTAGAGTCTTGAGGTTCTCTCCCTCTTCCTCTGACCCTTCTGCTTGTGCTCTCTCTCTCAAATAAGTAAATAAATCTTAAAAAAATAAAGCTAGAGTAACAAGGGATACTTGAGTGGCTCAGTCAGTTAAGCATCCAACTCTTGGTTTTGGCTTAGGTCATGATCTTAGGGTCGTGGGATCAAGCCCTGTCCCGGACTCCATGCTCACCTTGGAGTCAGCTTGAGATTCTCTCCCTTTTCTTCCTCCTCTGCCCCTCCCCACGCTCATGTTGCACATGCGTGCTCAAATAAATAAATAAAATCTTTTTTAAAAAGTAAGAGTAACAAATTTTTGAAATTTTTCTCAAGTGGCTTTGTACAGATTATTTGGCGACACCTCCATTTACCATGTTTGTTGGGCCAACTCTTATACATCCTTAAGGCTAAGTCCCCTGGTTTCTCTTCTCTTCCTTCATAAGTGCCCTGTACTGTTCTCCCATGGTACTCTGTATATCTCTTTATCATATCTCCACCTACTGGCATCTTGTCTGCCTGTGTCTTCCATTAGACTATATGCTTTATTAAGGCCACTGATTGGATCTTATCTTTGTATCTGTAACTGAATTTGGCAAATAGGAGGTACTCAGTAAATGCTTGTTGAATTGAACTTAATGTAGAAGGCTTTTTGTCAGGTGTAATAGGGACTGATATTTGGTCAGCTAATTTTTAAAAATTCAAAACAGAATTATTATAAAATTATGTATATACCTACCTTAAAATTTTTTTAATTAAAACGTAGTTATGCCATCTTTGACAATTATTTGATATATAACATGGCCTTGGGATCCTAATTATAGTTCTACTTAGCTTTTCTCGCATTAAAAAAACAAAAATTTTTAAAAACCCTAAAATGAAAATAGTTTATTTAAAATAGAGGCATTTGGGAAGAACTTTGAGACCTAAATATGGAATCTTTGGATTTTTACTATTTTTCTCAGTCTAACAGGTATCTTATCCACACTTAATTCAACAGCAGTTTTTATTAGCAACTCTCTTTTATTGAGTCTGTTTTAAGCATTTTAAATAGTTTTTGTAGAAACAACAGCTCACTTTTTGCAATCATATTTCTGATAATACAATAGCATTAACAGGTTTGGGAACAAATATAACTGTCTGGCTCTTAGTAAGTATACAATTCAGCTATTTGGATAAATGTGCAAGGAACTACTAGAGTAGCTAACTAGCTGTAAGCATTATCCTGTAGTGTTTAAGCTGTAATGCTTATCCTGAGAGGCAGTCTCTCCTTTGCTGCCCTGTCCACCACTCCCTTGTGGTGTAGTCAATAAACTTCTGTCTCCTTTAAAAAAAAAAAAAAAAAAAAAGCTTATCCTGAGTATCAGGTAGTATATTTTACAGAAAGAATGGAGACTATTGATTAATCCAGTAAGTCCACTTAGTGGAAGGAATTTATGAGAATTTATACTGTACTTGGGGTTTTTTTTCTATACCAAAATTTCATCAATTATAGAACTTATGCAGAGTCTGCCATATCCTGCCATAGATTTCATAAACTTTGTTCTTAAAATTCAGTGCTTTGCATTGTCTTATTATCTTCTCACATCACTCTGGCCAGCTCCAAAGAATTTCATGCTAATCGTCTTTTTTTATTTGTTTGTTTTAATTTCAGTGGTAGGAATGGGATCCTGGTGCTTCCACATGACTCTGAAATATGAAATGCAGGTCAGTAATAACAAAATTAACTAAATGCTTACTTCTCTTCACCCAGAGACACTTCAGATTTGAGGAAAGAGTACATTACTAGCAGGTGCTATTGATAGAAGAGACCAAAGGGAAAAAAAGAGATTACAAATCTCTGGAGATTTTACTTCAGGCCAGAGGATTCAAATTGACTAGGTAGAATAAAGAGGCGAGCAAATAAGTTAGCTGTCCATAGAGAAAACAAATGAGAGCACTGTAGCTTTTGTCCTCCTCTGTGCAGACACACATAATGTTAGAGCAGAGACCCCTGGAGGCATTTTAAAAAGACAGTTCACTAAGATAATATATTCTTCGATGCCTGTATTTCCTCATGTCTCTTTTATGGCATCCATTTGAATGGATGATTCCTCTAGCTAGCAAAGTTTTAAGAGCTCTGCAAGGATTTTTATTTACTGTCCTTGCTCTAGGAGGCCATATACCTAGTCCTCAGTCTTTTGACCTCTTTATTCCCCATTGCTAACCCAGAAACTCATGGAACAGCACTGTCCAGTAGAAATATCATGTGAGTATGTATGTAATTTAAAAATTTTTGGTAGCCACATTAAGAAAGGCCATGTTAAAATGAAATAGGTAAAATTAATTATAATAATATATTTTATTTAACCCAGTATATTCAAATATTATTTCAATGTGTAATCAGTATAAAAATTTATTAATGAAATGTTTCATGTCTTGAAATAAGGTGTATATCTCAATTTAGATTAGGTTTATTTCAAGTGCTCAGTAGCCATATAAGCCTAGTGGCTGCTAATTGGACAGTGCTATTCCAGAAGGATCTGTGAATTATTAATTACAGCTATTTAAATGTATAAGAATTAATTCTTAGGATTGATTCTGATATTCAACACATATTTATAACAAATAATAAAAGACTAGAGAACTGTTTAAGATTGAAGGAGAGCAAAAAGACATGACAACTAAATACAGTGTATGATTCTGGACTGGATGGTTGTATGTGTGTATGCTTACATTTATGATATTACTGGGACACTTAGAAAACTTAAATGAGGTCTGAGGATTATATGGTAAATCAATGTTAATATCCTGATTTTGTTGGTAGTATTGTGGTTATGTAGGTGAATATCTTTTTTTTTAAAGATTTAATTCACATGCCATAAAATTAACCATTTTAAAGTACGTAAGTTAGTTGTTTTAAGTACACTTACAAAATTGTGAAGCCATCACCATTATCTAATTACAGAACATTTTCATCACCCCAAAGAGAAACTTCATGGCCATTAACTGTCTCTCCTCATTACTCCGTCCACCTAGACTCTGACAACCACTAATCTACTCTCTGTCTCTGTGGATTTGCCTCTTCTGGGCATTTCATAGCAATGGATCCTGCAGTGTGTGACCTTTTATATCTGGCTTCTTTGACTTAGGCTGAGTAATATTCTATTACATAGATATACCACATTTTATTTGTTCATTTATCAATTAATGGACTTTGGGTTGTTTGCACTCTTTGCCTTTTATGCACAATGCTTCTATGAACATTGGTGTGCAAGTTTTTGTGTGGATATATATTTCTTAGAAGTAGAATTGCTAGGTCACATGGTGATTCTGCATTTAACTTTTTTAAAAAATTTTTTTAAATTTTATTTTTTTGCCTTTAACCTTTTGAGGATCTACCAGACTGGTTTTCAAAGTGACGGTACCGTTTTACATTCCCACGTGCAATTTTCTCTGTATCCTCGCCAGTACTGGTGATTGTCCTTCCTTTTGATTATAGCCATCTTGCTGGATGTGAAGTGATATCTCATTGTGGTTTTGATTTGCATTTCCCTAGTGACCAGGGATGTTGAACATTTTTCATGTGCGTATTGCCCATTTGTATATCTTCATAGGAGAAATGTCTGTTCAGATCCTTCTCGCATTCTTAAATTGTGTTATTTGCCTTTTTATCATTGAGTTATAAGAGTACCTTATATATTTTGGGTACTAGACCCTTACTGAATACATAGTTTACAATTTTCTTCCATTCTGTGGGTTGTGTTTTCATTTTTTAAATAACATCCTTTGAATTTTAGGATCAACTTATCATATTCTGCAAAAATTATCTGGGATTTTTTTTTTTTAAGATTTTATTTATTTGACAGAGAGAGCGAGAGCAGGAACACAAGCAGGGGGAGTGGGAGAGGGAGAAGCAGGCTTGCCGCGGAGAAGGGAGCCCGATGTGGGACTCGATCCCAGGACCCTGGGATCATGACCTGAGCCGAAGGCAGACGCTTAATGACTGATCCACCCAGGCGCCCTATCTGGGATTTTGAAAGGGATTCCATTGAATCCACAGATCGCTTTGGAGAGTATTGCTATCTTTATTTTTTTTCTTTGTATTCACTTTTATTTTGCATATGATCTACAATAAACATTATTTTGGTAATAAAAGATTTTAAAACTTAAGTTAGATGATTTTATGCTAATTTATAACTTTATGAAGAGAATTGCTATCTTTAATATTGTCTTCCAATCCATGAACATAGGCTGTCTTCCCATTTATTTAAGTCTCTTATTTCTTTCAATTATGTTTTATAGTTTGTGTGCAAATCTTGACTTCTTTTGTTAAATATATTCATAAGTATTATAGTTTTGATGGTATTGTAAATTGAATTTTCTTAATTTCATTTTTTTTATTTCTCATGCCTAATTTATAGAAATAACAATGATTTTTGCATATTGTTATTGTATCCTGCAACATTGCTGAGCTTGTTTTTTTACCTGTAGTAGTTTGGTGTGTGCATATGTGGATTTGTTAGGGCTTTCTGTGTACACAATCATGTCATATGCAAATAGGGATCGTTTTATGTCTTCCTTATCAATTGGATGCCTTGTACTTGTTTTTCTTGCCTAGTTGCCCTGAATAGAACTTCCAGTACACTGCTGCATAGAAGTGGAGAGAGCAGATATCCTTGTTTTGTTCCTGATCTTAGGAAAAGAGCTTTTAGTTTTTCACCATTAATTATAGTATTGGCTGGAGTTTTGTGTGGATGCCCTTTTTAAGTCTGAGGAAGTTCCCTTCTATTCCTAGTTTGCTGAGTGTTTTTATCATGAAAAGATGTTGGAATTTTCAGATTTTTTTTTTCTGAATCTCTTGAAATGACCATGTGGTTTTTCTCCTTTATTATATTAGTATGGTGTAGTACATTGGTTCGCATATGTTGAATCAACCTTGCATTCCTGTGATAAATTCCATTTGGTCAAGGCATATAATCCAAATGAATATCTTTGTAGGAAACATGCACTAGAGTACTTGGGAATAATGGAACTTCATGTCAGCAATTTACTCAAATGGTTCAGAGATAAAAAAAAAAAAGTTCTTTGTATTGTCCTTCAAACTTTTCTGTACCTTGAAGTTGTTTCAATTATTTTTTTAATAAAAAATATATATATACATGTTCTTTGACTCCAGTAATTGCACTCCTAGGAACACTTCCTAAGAAAGTAATCAGAGACAGGGAAAAGATGTTTTACAAGTATGTTACACATGTGAGAGTGTTACACATGATAAAGATTTTTAAATGATCTAAATGTTTAACAAAAGGGAGATTGTTAACATATACTATGATATATCTATGTGTTGAAATATACTGTTGCCATTTAAAATAATATTTTGAGGGCGCCTGGGTGGCTCAGTTGGTTAAGCGACTGCCTTCGGCTCAGGTCATGATCCCGGAGTCCCGGGATCGAGTCCCGCATCGGGATCCCTGCTCAGCAGGGAGTCTGCTTCTCCCTCTGACCCTCTTCCCTCTCGTGCTCTCTATCTCTCATTCTCTCTCTCAAATAAATAAATAAAATCTTAAAAAAAAAAAAATAATAATATTTTGAGGGATGCCTGGCTGGCTCAGTCAGTAGAACAAGTGACTCTTGATCTCAGGGTCGTGAATTTGAGCCCCACATTGTGCTTACTTTAAAACATACAATAAAATAAAGGAAACATGATCTCTGGTTGAGTACCTTTAAAAAATAAATAAATAAAATAATATTTTGAAGACTATTGAAATGGGAAAATGTTAGACAAAACTTTATGTAATGTGATACCAATTTTATAAACAATAGAAAAAAGACTGGAAGGAAGTACATTTTGCCTCACTTCTTTTCCTTTGTTACAAAGTTTGTAATCTGTGGCTCAAAATTATAATAACCCCCACCCACCCATAAAATATCCTTAAAGTCCTTGCCCCTTGCTTTCTGAGCAATATTCAACTCTGATCAAGCTCAATTATCTGTGTATCCTGTGCCTGAACTGAGTAGATAAATATTGCTCATAGAAATTATATCCCTTTGTTAAATGATCTCACTTTTAAATTATTGAACAAAAATCTCAAATAACCACTCAGTGCCATAAGACAGTACTGTTACATTTCCCTGACAGTTTCAATTTCCATTCTCCAGAACTATTATTTCACACTTTTGCTGCTCTTTTTAGATTTCTTTTTATATCTTTTTTGCCTCATATCCCCTTCTCCTCAGTGATGTCTTCAATATTTCACTAAGAATATAGAAGAAGTTAGTAAGAAACTCCCTCATCTTTTTACCAATGTCATCTTCCTATTATTGTGGAAGAAATGTCCCAATTCCTCTCAAAGACTCAAGCCTACAGTTACACACTCCAGCGTAGTCACTTGCTCCACCAGTCTTTAGAAAGTCACTACACTCATTCACTGCTATCAGCTTACACACATACTCAAATAACTCCCCTCCTTTAAAAGTTACTTCTCCCTGACCCTCTGTCCAGCTATTGAATCATTTTTTGGTTCCCTTTCATATCAAAACCACTTGAATGTCTCTGCTTTCTCTATACTTACCTCCCTCTCTTTTCCTCCCATTCTGGTTAGGTATTTCTTCCCTTCATTTCATAGTAACTGCTATTGTGAAGGTCACCAGTGACCTTCATCTTGCTAAATCCAATAAATACATTTCTGTCTTATTATTTGACCTCTCAGTAGCATTCCACACAA